AAAACACAAAGGTCACAGCTTGATCTATGTTCTCTTAAATAACTGGCTATTTATAACATATTCAAACAGCATGAGTAATTGGAAGCCACAAAACAAATGTGCTTTATCTCACCTGTTTAAGAAATAAAACCCAGAAGATAAGAAGTTAATCCATGAGCTGTTGCATAGCTTATTCTTGAGAGTCGAAACTAGAGCCAGGTGTTCTGCCCTCTCAGATCAGTGCCTTTGCCTCCTCATCAGTGTCTTGGCTCCAGCATCCTTCAGTGGGACCCCCTGCTGTTCACCCACAGTGATAGTTTGAGTAACGGAAGAAAGGAAGTCTTTTTGGTTAATTCCTGTCCTCATTCCACTTCACAGCATTTTCATGAATCAGACTCATTTTTTCTAACTGAGCATTTCCTTAAGGAAAATAAAATAAGAAGGAGTGGAAGACAGGTCAAATTAAGCCCCTTTCACAAAATTTTTACATAGGCCTCAAGATAGGATGATTATTGGGGCAACTGCAACAGCAGAGTTCACCATCAATTTTTTAGAAGCTTGGGGGGAAAGGGTGTCAAGTTTTGTAGACATTTCTCACTTGCCAAGAATAACAGTTTATTGACTGTGGGCAATGAGTTTTGCCTGGGAAAATAGCCTATATACCTGGAGGGACATATTATTAACCTTCCAACATTATTGAATATGCATTTTTCTCCTAGTTTTCTTTTTTTATTATTTAAATATTTTTAGTTGTAGATGGACACAATATCTTTATTTTATTTATTTATTTTTATGTGGTGCTGAGGATTAAACCCAGTGCCTTATACCTGCTAGGCAAGCGCTCTACCACTGAGCTACAGCCCCCGCCCCACCTCCTGGTTTTCATTACACCCATCTTGGTACTTTGTGATTAAGCACCAAGGCCAATGAGCATTTCATGTCTTCTTGTTTTCGTCAGCTTTTTCACTGCTGTGACCAAAAGAACTGACACAAACACTTTTAGAGGATGAAAAGTTTATTTTCAGGCTCACAGTTTCAGAGGTCTCAGTCCATAGATGGCTGTATCCATTGCTCTAATGTGTAGCAGAACATCATGGTGGATGAGTGTGGTAGAAGCAACTCAGGACATGGCACAGGAAACAGAGAGAAACTAAGTTCAGCTCAAAAAATATGTACCCCAAAAGAACACCCCTAATGACCAACCTTCTCCAGCCACACGCTACCTGCCTGCCATCACCAGTTAATCCCTATCAGGGGATTAATGCACTGATAAGGCTCTCATAACCCAATCATTTCACCTCTGAACTTTCTTGCATTGTCTCACACCTATTATCAAAACCATAACATTTCTGAAGGCTACATGGAAAAACATTCTTGAGCCTCTGCCCAAAAAAACCTTGAATCGAAAATCAAAAAGGTACACAGAACCGAATGCTGAAGTAAACCTCAATAATAACTGTAGTTTAATCACACCTATTGCACATCTGTTATTTTGCAGATGTGTTCCATTTTAGTGCTTTTTAAACTATTGGTTGTGGAATGCTCTATTTTTGAATATTGAAATATTGAAATGCTCCATTTTTTAATATACCTTCCTAGTTGTTCATTAGGCAGTAGTTATTATAGGAACTAATCAAGAAAGTTGAATTGGACAGGTATCTGATTGCCAAGATGTATGGGAGTACTTCAGTTTAATTTTTTCTCATTTAAAAAATTTACTCCTCTACTTAGAAGCCATGTTATTAACTGTTGCCCAGATACTGACTTTTTTTGCTCAGCACAGCTCCTTTTTTACCATGATTTGCATATAAATGAGTTATAAGTAAATGTGTCCTTGTAGAATGTTTCTTTTTGTTACTTTACTATATAAATAAAATATTATTCTCTTATCTAAAAGCTCATGTTCTCTTAAAAAAGAGAAAAATGTCATTAAGTCAGTATATAAGTACATTAGACTTTTAAATTTGGAAAAAAAAGAGGAGTATATTTATATTTCATGAAACATAATTATTTTATCGCAATTGATACAGTGTAATGAATGTAGTATATTTCAAGTTTTCTGTTATATTCATGTCCTTTGTGCTTTAAGCAATGAATTTATTTCCCATGTTACATTTTTCCCTCTTCCTTCTGAAAGTAAAATTGTTTACGAAACTGTGGCTTAGCAACAAAAGGAAAAGAAAAGCTGTCTTTTCTGACTTCAAGGGAAGAAATGGCATGCAGTATACTAGAAAGAGCTCTGCATTATGTTAAGCAAAGTGAGTCGGACTCTGAAAGTCAAGGGTCATATGTTTTCTCTCATATGTGGAAGTTGGAGAGAAAAGAATCTCATGAAAATAGAGGGAGCCATTAGGGTAAAGGAAAGGGGCGGGGGTGGGTGGGAGGAGTGGAGGTCCTGGGGAATGAAATAGATCAAAGTACCATGTGCAAATATGCCACAGTGAAACCCACTATTCTGTATAATTATTATATACCAATAAATTAAAAAAAAAAAAAGCATGAGCTCTGGACTGGGAAGAAGCAGGTATGGATGCCGGGCTCCAGTTCTGCTGTAATATAAATGTTTGTTAGGTGAGTGGATCAGAGAGTGAATACACAGACTACCTCTTTGGACCCAATTATTCCTGAATCATTTTGTTCCAAACCTAAAATAGAAGCTTTTCATATGCGTTTTGTACCTGTCCCAAACTCAATTTTTCATTTAATTAGCTACATATCCATACATTAGTTAATCTACAAAAATCTTGCTCTAATGCTTTAGACACACACTTGATGAACATTTCCCATGCTCAGTTTACTTTGAGTCAAACTTCCATTTCTATAAATAACCTGCCTGGAAAAGTTTATCAGGACAAGGATCAACTTAAATGAGAAAGACTAGGTTAAGGGGGAAAAATGGAAAAAAAGCATATGAGTATCCCAGCTTATCTTTTTAATTTTTTTTTCTTTTTAGTGCATTTCTGCAATTGCTGGAGATGTTGAACATTTTTTCATATATTTATCGACCCATTGTATTTCTTCTGTGAGGTGCCTATTTAGTTCTTTTGGCTATTTATTGATTGGATTATTTGGGGGTTTTTGGTGCCAGCTTATCTTAAATGAAGATTTCTTGGTGTAAATTTGTTATTTTGTTTTATTTTTTAATTTTTTTTTTAAAGAGAGAGAGAATTTTTTTAAGATTTATTTTTTAGTTTTTTCGGTGGACACGACATCTTTGTTTGTATGTAGTGCTGAGGATCGAACCACTTGAGCCACATCCCCAGCCCCTGTTATTTTGTTTTAAATAAATTGCCAGAATGCCAGACATAGTCATACTCAAATTTAGCTATAGCATCCATTGAATGGATTATTATTCAGACATTAAAGTTATGTCTATGAAAAATTCTTAATGACATGGCAAATTATTTCTAATATGATGACTGAGAAAACAGAAAATTCTGTATTATAGTTTAATCTCAACTAGATAAAAATAAAAACATCAACATTATTAACTGTAATTTTCTCTAGATGATGATATTATTTTATGATTTTTTTCTCTATTTTTACTGAAAAAAAAAAAAAACCCGAAAATCCCAGAGGATAGCTAAGATATCTTTTGCATGTAAAATGTCCTTTCACAGTCTGATCAACCCTTTTAGGCCTCCTGAAGAGTTATAAAATAGCCCCAAACAAAGTAGGAAGAGATAGAAAGCCTAAAGAGTAAAACAATTTATAAACCAATGATTATCCCTTATGTAAGTAAGAATGGATAATTTTAAAATAATGTATTATTTTAAATAATGTAATAATTTTAAAATACTGTATTTAATGACATTCCATAGTGTATTTATCAAGCATATTTTTATAACTAGTAAAAACACAAAAGATGAATAAAATACAGAATCCAGAGTGTATTGACTCAGTTGAACATAAGAATAAAGTGATTGATCTTTTTTCTTTTTCATTCTAATATGCTTTTTTTTTTAAGAGAGAGGAGAGAGAGAGAGAATTTTTAATGTTTATTTATTTATTTTTTTTTTAGTTATTGGCGGACATAACATCTTTGTATGTGGTGCTGAGGATTGAACCCAGGCCACACACATGCCAGGCGAGCGCGCTACCGCTTGAGCCACATCCCCAGCCCCTCTGATATGCTTTAAAAAAAAAAATCCTAGCTAGTAATTTTGGGCAAAAATTTAAAAGAAAAATTATGTTGTGTATTTTTTTATTATTGCAATTCTAAGTTCTTTAATGCTTTTACTCATAAAGAAATAGCCCCAGATGAGGAACAACACAGAGAGGTTCAGTTTGGTCCTGCTCCCTGAGGTCACAGCAGCAGGCTCTGCCTCAGGTATGGGGATGCAAGTTCAGCAGCACTGGTTGTGGCAAGAAAAGTCCAAAACATGACAAGAGTCAGCAGTTTCAGGGCTGGGATCTCACTTATTTCATTTCATGCAGTGATTACTTATTGAACTTACTATATGCTAGATACCAGCTATACACTGAGGATCTTAAATGAATAAGACATCTCAGACCAAAAGGAACTGACGGACTTTTAGGCAAAAACTAGAAACTAACTCCTAGTTATCATGAAAAACTCGGTGTAGGGGTCATCTCAGCATAATGGTAGAGCGGTCAACTTTGCTGAGAGATTCCAGTAGTGATGCTTGAATATAGATTTGATCATAGAATGGGGACAGAGCTGCATGTGTCAAAGCCATAGAGCACGAAACTACACCAAGGGTTCTGTGAATTATGATTACATATTTCCCACCCTTTCCTTCATTTATGTAGTCATTCAGAAGCTTTATCAAGCTCTCCTTTTATACCAGGCATTGTCCCAGCCACACTGTCGTAGATCTCCTGTAAACCAGGCCCATCTTTAGGTATCTTCATCAGGGAGAAGGAAGTCTGCTGGGTGTCTCTACTCAGGACAGAGCTAGTCAGGCATGAGGCATAATATGCTTTAACTTCTTTCAAATGGAGTTGCATAGTATATGTTTTTATATTAGAACTAGCACTAATGGCCATTTTCTTTATAGGTAGTGCCATTATTTCTGTTATGTTTCTGAAAGAAAATTTGAGAGCCTCAGATTTACTGGGTGAGTAATTGTTTAATTCATGTAATTATAACATTGCTTGACCAGGAAATAAATAATAGTAGCCATAAAAATGTGTGCTTTAAAACTAGGGGAAAATTATGAAATGGCTGCAGATCTCATTTAGATGTGACTGTAATTCTGCCTTGGAACTGCCGTCCCTTCTCACCTGAAATACTCATATTTTCATTGTGATGGTGGCTCATGCTACTGGTCATAGCTATCATTTTGTACTGTTGTTATTATTAATGTTGTAAAATTTTATGAACATAAAATTCAATGAAAATTTCTGTGTTGCCTAATAGACTATTCCACTTCAAAGGATATGCTTTCTATATTGTTGCATTTGTATGGTATAAAAGTGAAAACCACACAAAATAAGATAATTAATTACCAAGTAATTACCTATGGTATTTAACTCCTTGCAAAGGTAACACAGAGGGTTGTTCTTCCAAATTTTGAAAATACAGTTGTTAATAGAAAACAAAGAGAGTAATGGAGGAAGGAGTGGTCTGGTAGAACTAAGTCTAAAGTCAATGAAAAAATAAATAAAGTGAATGATGAATAGAAAATGAAAATAAAATAAAAGTAGTCTTCCTGGCTATAAAAGAGATTTCTGTTACATTTCGAAGCTATCATTTATTCATTGTGTCTTCTTGCTTTTGTTGGAAATATCATTGGTGAGAAGAATTATAGAGTTTCATATTTTATTCCTTGACAAAATCCTGCTTGAATTGCTGCTGACATATGATAATGAATACAGATACTTTAGGCACTTGAAATAAAACAATGCCTGCCCTCTTCCAGGGAGATCATATTTTTCGAAAAATGTGAGCTCTAAATGTGACACCAGTGTTGGTATGTTGAGCATTTGTTCTCCCGGATCATGTTTCCCTTGAGCCTGATGTCTTGAAAGTGTTTTCACTTTTTCTTTTCCTCCTTGGTTTGATTCTGCTAGTAGAGTTTTTAGTCAACATTGTCAAATTTTTCATGGTTAAAATGTTTTTTAAAATGTATTCATATGTGAACTGTATCTTTTGCAGCATATTATTTTTTCTATATTCTTTTTTATGTGTTGTGGTTTATGGAATCATTTGCGGAAGTCACAGGCAATCAGAAGTAAGAATGACCAATGCCCAAGTTTCATAAATTAAAAAAGCAGATCCTATGTTGATATTGTCATTTATCAAATGTCTTAAGGAAACATTGAATACTTTTATCTAACACCTGTTATCTTTCGTAGTGGGTGGTTAGTTACCGATTAAATTAATATGACTTAATGAGATAATATACATGGATATAGTGGAAGATTTGCTAACTGTCTTGAATATTGTTAGTAAAATGATAATTAGGACTGAATCCCTGCCCTTAAATAATTTACAATTCATAATAAAATACAATTCATAATAAAATACATAAAAGCTAGGTAGTGTGGCACAGCAGCTCAGGAGGCTGAGGCAGGAGGATCACAAGTTTAAAGCAGCCTCAGCAACTTAGTGAGGTCCTAAGCAATGTAGTGAGACCCTGTCTCAAAATAAAAAATAAGGGCTGGGGATGTGGCTCAGTGGTTAAGCACTCCAGGGTTCAATACTGGTTACCAAAATAAACACACACACACACACACACACACACACAAGTTTTTTAGAAGTAGAAAACAATGTATATCATAATGTCATGAGCCATTAGTTTAGAACAGTGTTTGTGGATCTCAGCACTACTGACATCTCAGGCTCCCTAATTCTTTGCTGTAGGGGGATATTCACTGCATTGCTGGGTGTTTATCACCCTACAGACCTTTACTTACTAGATATCTCTAGCACCCTCTATCCCACTTACCACAATCAGAAGTGTCTCTGGACATTACTAAGTGCCCCTAAAGGACACAATTATGCCAAATTGAGAACCACTAGGTTAGAATTAAGAAAAGTAATCTCTCTGAAGATCAGAGAGAATTTTTTATATCAACATTTAAATCAGTCCTGACTACTGAATAGGACAGCCATAGGCCACATCCAAGGACATGAAGGGGGCACATAGAGAGACTAATCCAGGGAGCGTCCACAAAGGTACAACAGTGGCAAAGTAAGTGTCTGTTTACTAACTGTACTATCTGCTACCTATAAGGATTAGGAGAAAAATAAGAAAAACTCATAACTATGGAAAAGGAAAAGATGGAAATATCAGTATGTACAGATGGTTTGCTTATGTACTTTAAAAAAAATCCAAGATTAACTAAACATTACTAGAAACAACAAATTAATTTAACAAATTAAAGGATCTAATTAAATTCACTCTAATGGATTTGAATCTGGATTCAACTTCGGCTTTTTACTATATGGCCAACCACATATAGATAAGTATTACTTCTCTAAGCCTCAGTTTGCTGACAAATACATAAAAGTGTTTTGAAAATCAAATTGGATTACTCACATAAAAGCACTTTGAGAACTGTAAAACTCTCTCACTGTAATTGTTATGATTACTATGATCACCTTCATACCCAAGAGATTCCCAAGAGGTAATACTAAAACAATAAGAAATGGGGAAACACACACACACACACACACACACACACCAAGAAAACAAAGTAAAACTTCAAATCAATTCTTTGATAATTTTTATATGTTAAAAACAGCTAACATCTTTTGAACATTTATTCTTGCCAGGTACTATGGTGTGCTGTTCATGGATTATCTCATTTAAATGTAGGAACACCCCATTTCCAGAAGCAAAATTTGAAACTTAGGTTAAAGAGCCATCTAACTGGTGCATGATGGGCCAGTATTCTAACAGTGGCCACCTAGTAAAACTGTAGCATAATGGTTTGGGGTGAGTCTCCAGCATCAGAGAACTGTTTGACTTTTTCAGAGTTAATAAATAAGTTATTTTCATAGTTATTATTTTCAGAGTTAATAAAATAAGCTCTTATAAGCGTCAATTTCTTCATCTTTAAAATGAAGGTTAATATTACCTACCTCACAGGATTAAATTATGGCCTATTCCATAATAAGAACTCAAAATGTTAGCTGTTCCTGTTATTACTTTTACAACCAGCAGCAACCACCACTGTGCTCTGCTAGTTAATCAGAGGAATTAGAATATTTTTCTACCTTTAGTAGTCCAGGTAACATTTCCCAGAACTCTGGGAATTTTATCCCTTTCTAACTGAATGTTTTTGGAATATGGCTACATCACTTGTATCACATTTGTTTCATACAACAGTTAAAAGTGATCAGTTCTTGCCTTTAATCAGTGGCATACAATAAAACAGGATTTAGTCACATATTTCACACATTTTCTTCTGACAAGCAATATCATAAGATCACTTTATACTTACAGAAGTCCAGGGAAGGACTTTTACCCAACTGTGTTCAGTAATGTGTTAAGTCAATATATTTCCTTTGGACCTTTATTGCTCTTGCCTTGAGAAAATTAAGCTCTTTCTGTTAAAAGCAAAAAATGCATTTTTCCCCCTTTACAGGGTCTAAAACCAAACAGGGAAAAGAGTAGTTACTGGTGTTTCTTAAAGAAATTGTTTCTTAAAGAAATTTCTTAAAGAAATTGTCAAAATGTGAGAAGAAAAATCATTTATTTTTCCCTGCTTCAAGCAAATGAAAGTTTGTTTTTCACAATGGAACAAATAAAGATTTTGGGGCCATGTGGAAACAAGCTGAACTAATTTATTGCCAAATGTTGCTCTGTGGCTATGAAGCTTTTCACCACTAGCCTCAAAAAATGACCTCACAAAAGCTATGTCTGAAAGGAATCGCCAACTATTATTAACTCAATGACAAGCATTGGACTCTGCTCTGATTCTTAGTGGATTAATAATTTTAAATTATTTTAATGATTATTTTTCCTTTTTAAAAGCACCAGATTTCTCTCCCCTTTGACCAGCCAAAAACTATAGTATTTTCCTCTCTCTTCTCCCAGTCATCAAAAGTCTCAAACCTAATAGTCTGAGATCCTTGTTGATTTGAGCCCAGATAATGTCATCATAGAAATAAAAACTGCAGTCAACTAACTCATCAGCACTCCCCAAGAGACCAGGAACTGGATTACTTCAAGTCACCTACAAAGGGTTTCCCCAGATGGGAAGCCAAGGGATTAATAGCAAGATGAAGGCCACCTCCTTCCTTCCTTCTCACACACCCGAGATCACTGTGGTTTGGGTCCAGAATCTAGAAGAGTATTGCAGCCAAATGAAGCATCATTTCTAATTGGAAGGACAGATTGGACATTTTGGTTTCAGATACCTCAAGAATGGGAGCCTTTCTGATGGCAGAGCCAGGACCATTTGGATTCCCTGTATCACTGAGACTTCCCAGTCTAGGGTTCCTTCGAGGAGTCTGGAATGGCTGCATTTATTGGAGGGTAGTCCCAAATGTCTGGAGTTAAGCAGTCCAGTCTACTCTGTGACTTCTGGTATCCCAAAGAGCAGTGACTGGTTTCCTGTTAACCAAGGTACTTATTTTGAGGACTGAAGGAATCAACTTTGTTTGGAGTGAGGTTAGTTGAATATTTTAAGACTCTGGAGGCTCCCAGAAGTCAGGTCAAGTTATAAAATAGGCAGTTAATACTACTTGGCATCCAACTGGGGAGTGAGTTCAAGATTCAAGGAGATTCCAGGTTTTAGTGAGCAAGGAGATTCCAGGTTTTAGTGAAAGGGAAAACTAGTATAGAAAACAGGATGTTAACTGAGGAAGAAATGTATATCATCGATCCTGGATGCGAGGCAAGTGCTGTACCACTGAGCTACACCCCCAGCCCTGCACATCAATCTTGAAATGAAAGACACCCCACCCCATGGGGGGTGGGAGGGGAATCAGCTCATTGGAGGTGCCAGCAAACAGCAGCACCAGGAGGAACCCAATTCTAGGCTTGGTTCCCTGTGAACACATTTATACTTCATTCCTGTCCACAGGTGTCTACGGGAGACTTTTGCAATAGGAGACCAGGCACCTCCTGAAACAAGGGCTGCATTCTCACAGCCAGGCCAGTTACAAGTCAAGTATTTCCCACAGTAGAAAATATTCCCTAAAGCACTACTTCAGGGAAATATAAACGGTCAAAAATGATTTGGAAATATGACAACCACATGCTCCTTACGCAATCCATGTGAACATCAACACATTAGTAGATCTGAGAGGTCTTCTAGTGAAAGAACTACTCACATTCATTTAGCTTGCTTCTTTCCAAATAATATTTGACTCATTTGGGCCTTTTTTGGTGAGGCCTCCACCTTTTGAAAACTGGTTTCAGGGAACACCAATTTGGGAATGCTCTTCTAAATGAACATTAGAGCCCCCAAAATTATGTGAGACTAGTCAGGGACCCCAGAGACCTCTGCCGGAAGGAATCGTTTCCTTATTTCTGGCCTGTTGGTGATCTGTACAGTTGTGGGGGGCTCTACTCATTTAGACTACCATGTGAATGACAGTTTGAGCTTTCCATTCAGCAGCCCTACCCCTTAATGCATACAAGAGGCAGAGGAATGAAACAGAAAACAGACTTCCTAGGTTCCAATCCAAGTTCTCAACATATTAGTTGGAAAACCCCAAGCAAAATAGTTATTCTCTTTGTGACTCAGTTTCCTCATTTGTTAAATATAGATAGTAATAGTTTAAGATTATACATTAAATATCATGCATATTGAATACTGTATGGCATATACAGCGTATGTTTTAATAATATAATTACATAATAGTAAACAATAGTCCTCCTCTTATCCAGTTTTACTTTCTGTGGTTTTAGTTACCCATAGTAAACTACAATCTGAAAAATATTAAACGGAAAATTGCAGAAATAAACAATTCATAAGTTTTAAATAAATTTTATTAAAGCATATTGTAATTATTAGATTGTATTATTAGTTATTGTTGTTCATCTCTTATTTTGCCTAATTCATAAATTAAACTTTATTATAGGTAGGTAGACATAGGGAAAAAAGCAGCATACATAGGATTCAGTCCTATGTGAGATTTCAGGCACCCACTGGGGGCCTTAGCATTTATTAACTGTGGATAAGGGGGGACTACTGTCATAGTTTTTCACGGATTTGTTGTAAGGATTAAATTAGAATATAGAATTGTGCTTATTAGTATTAGCTATATAGTTTCTATTATCATGTTTTAATATTATGCTGATCATAATAAAACAATCATGTTGGCCATACTTGCTGATGAAATCAATAGTTCTAAGAATATCACCTTAATAAAAAGGATTACCTTGCCTTAGTACATTCTCTCCCAGGATACCTAGTATACACCTACCGTAAATAGTAGGAATTTGCTTGTATACCTGTTTTGCACATAGGCCAAGTTTATACAAGAAAGTTTCATTGCTTGTATATTCTGTCAAGCTAAATGTGGAATCTCCACTGTCAACTTTTAAGTAACTTGCATCATATTTGATTAGAAAACATAATTGCTGCAGGTTGGGATGTGAGGGAGAAAGATGAGGCACTTCCTTGAGTGGTGAGTAGTGTTCAGCTCCAGACATGGACTCCCACCTGAAGTTTACCCACAGTGCCCAGCTGCTCTGTTTTGGGCCATCTCCAATATCCAGATCTTGGTGCTTCATACACCAGTTCCCAAGGTTAGCTGGGGGAGGAAACATAGTGCTGCCATATTTGCTTCTCTGTGTTCTGTTAATTGGATCATTTCCTTCATTGCAGTTCCTTTTAAGACCAATGGGGCAAAATTTTCACTAAGCAGTCAGAAGATGCTCGATGATTCCTTCCTGTCCATACCTTCCACTGACTCCTTATAAACAGTTCCAGTGACAGTGCCTGATCATCCTGAGCTATATCATTAGGGATACTATTTTAGATTAATTTTTAAGTTGAACTTAGATGGCCTTTAACTCATGGCAAACAGTCAACATCCCGAGGGAATTGATCCTAGGTCCTGTGTCGCATCAAACCTCCAGGGGAGTTTCAAGCATATTCAGCTGCCCAGACTGGCCTCTTGGAAACTAGAAGATATGATGACTTAATTCATACCTAGAGATCAGGGAGACTCATCCAGTTACAGCTGTATCAATAATTTGCTGGAGCTCTTCTGGCTAGCAAGTCGCAATGAAATTTGAATTTTTCAGAGACAGTTTCAGCTTTGATGAGACTTGCAGGAATCCAAGTCTTGACCATAATTGTAACCACTCCTGTGGGCCAGAAGCATATCTCTACTGCCTGCTTCTTTGGGATATTACATATCCATATCACTCTTTTGGGTAACAGGGCCAAAGAAGATAAACTAGCAAGTTTTCTAAGTTAGAAATCTGTGTCCTCCAAAAGAGTATTTATGGTTTCACTGAAATAAAAATAGCAGGAACTGACATTCCATGCCACTTTTAGTAAAATATAGATATAGATAAATTTTAAGGAAATTTATTTAAGGAAGTACACATGACTATCTTCAACACTTTTAAGTACCTCTGGAAAATATGCACATGAGATAGTAAATTGCATTAAAAATGCAAATGGCACAAAATAAACAAGCATACAACTGTTAACAGCTACCTAGAACTGCTTTTGCAATTGTCATGAGTAGCTGAAATTAAAATTATCAAGAAAAAGAATGGGTTTAGTAGAGTTACTAGACTCACAGTGATGTGAGGCTCAAGTGAAATAATGTTATGTAAAAAGTGACTTTGAAAGTAAAATTGCAAAATCATCAGCCATTTTGTTTTTAGTTTCAGAATGCAATGAAGACATAGTGATAGAGATGTGCACAGACACAGATGTAAATCAAAGATAATATTGAGGAAAACTAAGTTAAATACTACTACCATCATATCATATAATGGAATACTATGTAAACCTCAAAGAATGAGACTGCCCTGCATCTCTTCCAAGGTGTTCTGTTAAGTGGGGAAAAAACAAAAAAGCAAGATGCAAAACAGTGTATATAATATGCTATCATTTGTATAAAATGACAAAACTCATGCACACTCACTCACATATGCATAAAACATCTCTGAAAAGAAAACCTAAGGACCCAGTGGTGGTGGTTAATGTTGGGGAGGGGAACTGGTGGCCTCAGGGTATAGGAGAGATTTAACTTTTCACTGATCACCTTCATTGTATCTGGAATTTTGTACCATATACCTGTGTTACCAACTCAGAGTGAAATTAAAACAGGAAAGTTTATTGATGCTAGATTCTGTTAGAGGAGATCAAATCTGGTAGAGGAGCTTAATATAAATAAGAAATATAGATTTCCCAAAAGAAACAGTTGGAAGTCTCTGAGACTGATTAAAGTGTATTTTTTAATTAAATTGATTGATTCTACTTTACCAAGTTTATAAAATTGTTTTTTTAAAAATCTCTTTCTTCTTCGAGCTTAATTTGGAATAATTATCTTATATAATCTTTTTTTTTCTTTCAAAGAAAGAACATAACTGACCAATAACTTTTCTCCAGGTTCTTGTGTATGGCTTTTATTAGTTTGCTTTTATTACAATATTTAATAATGTATATTGTTTTTCATTCCAAAAGTTCTCATTAGAAATAGCTTTAAAATTATGTATCTAATCTCTGTCTTCACAAAATATTACATAAAAAATTAGAGAAAACTTATTTGTAGCTTCTACAAATAAGTGTTGTCTAACTTGCGTGAAAAAAAAAATCAAACACTGTTCTCAGAAACTGGAGTTCAAAACCTAAATCATGTGGTTAAGAGAAATGAGAAATTAGTGCCTTCAAACTGTGAGATTTTATACACAAACCAAATTGTCTCAGGTTAGAATCAATGCTGCCTGTAAATTATTTCCACGGTGTCAAATCTCAGTGATAAAACAAGCTGAATTGTTTGTAGGTATACTGAAAAAAAATGCTGCTTTTATTAGTTTTTCTTAGATGGCTATTTATTTAAAAAAAAATAAAGAAAAGAAAGCTGTTTTCAGTGTTATTGGAAAAGACAAGTCCTCCCCCTCCTCCAGCAGCCACCCCTCCCATGCCACTCTCTCTCCTCTATAATGTTAAGTGATGCTAAGGAACACACTCCTGTTATTGGGTTGATGATGCGATGCATTTTTACTAAGCTAACCTTGCAACCCTCAGTCCTAAATTAGAATAATTAAAATTCGGCAGCAACGTCAGCAGCCCTGTTGTTATTCCTGCTGAACCAACTCCAATAGATGGCAGTGATTAAGGCACTTATTTTACCGGAGTCTCACAGTGTGAAATCACTAGGGCGAGTGTAGGGGCTCCAGAGATGCTCAAGTGCAGGGCAGGTCATCATGTGGTGGACTTGCCTGTCCTCTAGGCTCTGAGATCTAGATCTAGGTGGATGGAGGTGAGATGTGTTTTCCCATGCCCATGTGCACATGTTCTGATCTTCTCCACCTTTGAGGAAAGCTCCAGAGAGGCCAGGACTCATCTGAAACAACAGAGAAGAACCAGAAGTTATTTTCTGGCCCATCCAATCCCTGGATTTTATGCCCCTGTAAAGGTCATGCCGTTTGGTGAACATGTGATGTTACAGGATGGCTTGATGAATCATATTTTTAATAGAGAGGGGCTGCCAGCACTTTTACAAGTAATGCTCTGTCTCTAGGTAATGTCTGAGTCAACAAAAAGTTTTAAGTGTCCCTTTTCAGTTGGCTTTGTCTTTTCTGTTTTATTTAAAGGTATGACATTCGCACTTGCAGGAACATATTTATTGGTGAATTTTGCTCCAAATATAACTCAGGCTGTCTCAGCAAGAACAATACAGTATTACTTTGTTGGCTGGCAGTTCCTGGTCTATGTGGTAAGAATTCTAAAATTCCACTATTCCTGAAGTGATACTATCTAGACCACTGATGTCTGCAGATGTTGGAGAGCTAGTATGACTTTTTCTTCTCAGCATTAGAAACATATTGAAATTAAAATCTTTTTGAGCAGTACCAAAGTATTTGAAATACTAAATCAGCAGTAGAAGCATCTTCCAAGAAGTCCTATTTATTACTGCAACAGGTTGTTTGAGATGAGCAGGTATGATCCCGAGAGACATGTAAAGAAAACATGAAAAGAGCTGATACAGGCATTTGAAGCTATTAATTGGGGTGTTTTATTTGATACAGTGATTGCTATCAGGTGATTGTAAAGAGAGAACATGATTGAAATGGTTAATATGTAGCTTGTTACAGACTAAGTTTGGAGAATAAAAATACTCTAGAACAGGCAGGTAGTAAGAAGAAAACTGAGATAGTCTTGCTGAGCATTTAACCATGATTTGGATTGGTAAAATAATTGTGAATTCAATAAATAGAATCAAAGCATAAAGGCAAGGTATGGTCTTAGGATTAGAAATGACCTCAAAAAGCTGTGTGGTATACTCCTCTGCTTTTAAAACGAGTAAAAAGTGTGATCCTAGTTGATATACCTAGTATTTAAAAGTGTGACCTTGGCATTTGCAGGAATATGTTTACTAGTTTTGATCTAAGTGTAACTCAGGTAATACAGCAGCAATTCCTAGTCCATGAATTCTATGTATCTTACTATCTCTGACGTATAATTTGGACCACTGGGACAAATATTCTTAGATCTTTCCTATAAAGACCTATCTATAGGAAAGACTTCTTTACCCCTTTCACTTTTACTTTCTCTTACTCTTTAAGGATACTTAACTTTCTCTGTTTTCAAAAAAAATTCCTCATAAACTATACACCCTTTAACAATCTTTCCTATTTACCTTCTTCCCTTCACCATCAAAAGATGCTTTCAGATAGTTTGTCTACTCTTGCCAACCCTGTCCACTCTCTCAGATCCCATTCGCTCCTCTCCTTACAATCTAGTAGATCCCTCCCACATCTTGTCAAATGGAATTGCGTTTTTTGCTCCTGACACTTCTTGAACTTTGTGCAGCATCTGCTGTCTGCCCATAATCTTCTAGAATCCCCTCCTTCCAAATCCAGACATGCCTGTCCTTCCCAGGCCTCTCCTAAGCTCCAGCCCTGTGTTCTCTTCTGTCCACTTATTACTCATCCCTGTCTGGATATTTGGTTTCTCAAATGTAAATTATCTGAAATTGAACCGATGCCTTTTCCCAAAAAAACTCTCTCACTCCAATATTTTGTGTGTCTGCTTCCAATACTGGAAGTCTGAGCTGCACATAACTTCTTCCACATCTTTACTCCCCACTCTACCTCTCATCCTATTGGATGTTTTAAAGTTTCTTGAACTTGACCCTTCTTTTATATTTCCATTGCCTTTGCATCAGTTCAGGCTTTCATCATCCCTTGCTCAGACATCCCTTGTCTGTCCTCTTGTTGCTCATCCTCAACACCGTGACTGGAAGTATTCTCCTACAAGAGAGATCTGCTCAGTTAGTGCACTTTAGCCACATAATGCAGTGCCACTGTGTCTGTGGTTCCCTCTGCCAGCAGAGTCCTAGCTCCTTGGAACCCTGTCTCCATGCCCTTGCAACTCCCTCCAAACTTGCCCTCATGGGCACAGCTCAGATGGGGCATCTTCTGTTAAAGAGCATATTTCCAAGATAGTTGCTCCATTTTCTGGGCTCTCTGTATGACACATTATGTTTTAATCACCTATTTTCCTTTCTGTTCTATTCCAGTAGACCATGCACACCCTCAGGGAAGAATCATTATTGGTCAATAAATTAGTCAGCTGTCAGTCATAATGCTCTGCCTAGTTAAACACCTGTTCTTGATATGTTATGTCTCTGATTTTCATTCTCATGACTTTATTTTTTCCCTAGCTCTGTCACCTCTTACCGCTTCCCGCAGCCCCTGTCCCCAACCCCAACCTTTAGGATTGGGCTTCCCAACTCAGATTAGCCTTCCCGAGGTCATTCGTACATCGTGTCTTCCCCCACCCATTCATTTTCCTGCCTGTCCACCAAACTCAGTTCTTTATCAGATTTCATTGATCAGCTATACACACTAGAAGTTTTAATCCCTGTGATTTACTTCTGTTCTTTAAACTTTGTTGAATGTTTCATGACAGTCCAGACTTGAAGTCCTACCAACACATTACTACTTTCTGCCTACAGGCAAAACAGTCTTTATCCAGTAAGAAAAGAGTGACATAACCTGTGATCAGAAAATTAATAGCCTTAGCTGAATCCTTTGGAGATTAAAGAATAAAGATCAAGCCTTATTTCTGAAATAAACTGCATTGCTTCATGATGATGTATCTTGTGTTAACACCAGAGAAAATATTTGAAAAGAACAAAGCCACTTTTTATTAAACCTTATATTTCCACAAAAATACTCTGAAATTAATTAAACTTTGTCATTTTCCAGAGTCAACTCTTAAATTCATTCATTTATTTATTCACTCATCCATTCAACTGACTAGACACCTTGGTTACAAAGAGGAATTCCTATAGCAGGAATTTTATAGTACCAGGATAGATCCACCCTTCAGTAAAATTGTATAATTATAAGATAGTATATTTGAAAGAAAAGGCCACACAGGAAAAAAAAAGGTAGCTAAATCTAGGTATTTATAAAATAGCACAAAATAAGTCTGTAATATGGAACAGCACTGGATGTTGGATTAGACTTTAAGGGTAATAGGTTCATGTTATAGTAATGTAGAATTTAATCCATCATATGTTTTTTTTTTTCTCTGAAGACTCTGGGGGTGATTAGTTATATACAGAGATCTTAAGAGGAAGTTTGATTTAAATCTGTTAAACATCTAAGTAATTAACATTTAATCATCGGGTATGACAGATTCTGTACTCTTTCTGCAAAGTATGACGGCAAGGATCATAATTACACAATTGAGACTACTCTTTGACAAATCATTCATCTGTTTATGTAATTACACTGCATATAAATACAGCACCAGAATTGCTTTTCAGGACTGATCAACTAACTTACAAAATGAATAAAAATATTTGATATTTTAATAAGCTTTGCACTCCTCAAAACAGGGATTGTAAATGGTATTACAGGCAGAGTCATACCATCCCTTACCTTATGTGTTGCCTAACAGATAGGTGTCTGTTTTACCTTCAGGTTTCCACTAAGTGGAAACCTCGCAGCCACAAGGCCCAGGAGCTCTAATCAAGCATTCTTTTGCAAGAGGATTTGAGCAGCCTGGTGTCAGCTAGCAGCAGAAGAATGAAGTGCCCTTTTATCACCCACTAACATAACCTTTCCCTACCTGTCTGCCTCAGATGGGTAGCTCCCCTCATTGATACTTGCCAAAAATAAAAAATGAGTGTGGATTCAAGGCCAGACTGGCTTAGAGAGATATGGCATAACAGGTCCCTCTGTGGAATCCATCATCTCTGTCAGCAGATTAAAAGCCAGAAGTCCTTGAGGAAAGAGATAGGTTTGATTTTGTTAGTCCTGTATGCCCTAAGTTTATTTGACCAAGGAGCCCTTTTCTGAAGGGCCTTTTTGAGTAATTCGTGTTAACATGTTCTGCAGAGTCCACGTGAGGAAATGTAGCCCCAAGCCCCAATTACTTCATGTTCTTTGGCAGGCTTCATCATGGCCATTTTGCCCACCCAGATTTTCCAACAGACTATTCAAATAGAAACCTCTGTTGTTAACATAAAATCCTTCACAAAATAATCTGCATGGTGCTCATTTTAGCTCCTCCAGACAAAAAATTAAATCAGCAGAAGCAAAGGCCAAACCTGTCATTTGGGGTAATCCTATACCTCAGAGCTGATTATTAAGTCAACCTTTCTAGCAAAGCTCCTTCACAACCCACTGTCAGGTGTTTAAAACCTGAAGGGCGAAAGCTGCATGTTTTTATAAGACATGCAGTTGTCTCTTGCCTCATGTTTCTTTGCTTTATTTTCTGGATGCAAATAGTACTTGTGTGTCTGCACCATTAGACATTTCTGCAGCTCAGTAGACCATGCTCATGGAGCAGCTGAGCACTGTGCATAGCTCCGACTACAGTCTTATGTTTTATCTGCCTAATGATCCTGTACCTGGGGCACGATTATCCTCTACATCTCACAGATGGGGAACCTGAGGCTTAGAGAGATCCAGTAACTTGCCCAAGGTCATATAAATATGAAATGGGAGAGCCAGAATTCAAAACCAAGTTGTCCTCCTCTTGGGGGGAGGTGGGGACACATTCAAACACACTTCTCTAAACACCTCTCTATGCAGAATTAATAAAACTGATTACCAAGGATCAAGTCTTTGTCCAAACTTGGCCTAGGAGAGAATTTGCAAGGCCCATTCTTTTTGGACAAAGATGCTGCATCAAAGGGCTATGCTTCCAAGAAAAATCTTGGTAAGAGAAAAGGAGGTAAACTCATGCTTGGATTTTTATACTGGAAGTGGAGCATCCAACAAGGAAATTGTGTCTGTCCCTTTCCACTTCACTCCTTAATAGCCATAGCCCTTTAAGCCACTGAAAACAGGGTGACTGGTGCTTCTAAATCTAAATAGACTAGAGAACCAATCCAGAAAACCCAAAATCAATGCAGAAAATTCCTCCCAAAGATTCCATTCCTTGCCGGGCATGGTAGCGCACACCTGTAATCCCAGCAGCTTGGGAGGCTGAGGCAGGAGGATCACAAGTTCAAAGTCAGCCCAGCAAAAATGAGGAGCTAAGCAACTCAGTGAGACCCTATCTCTAAATAAAATACAAAATAGGGCTGGATGATGTGGCTCAATGATCAAGGGTCCCTGAGTTCAATCCCTATTACCCAAGGGGGAAACAAATCATTCCTCTGGAAAGATTTCAGGTAACAGAACCTGAATTTTTTTTCTATTATTCTATAACAAATTGTCACAAATTTAGTGGCTTAAAATAACACAAATTTATGACTTTAGTTTCTAGGTCAGAAGTCTTACTCAGATCTTGCTAGGCTAGCTATGCTCCCTGCCAGAGCCTCCAAGGGAGAATCTGACTCCTTGCCTTTCCCAGCTTAGAGTCACCAGTGTTCCTTGGCTCCCATCTTTCCTATGTGGCAGCTGTCTGCTGCAGCTGGGAAGCTTCTCTTCTTTTACAGACTTATGTAATCATGTTGGACCACTTAAATCATCCAGGATCATCTCCCCACCTCGAGTTCCATAACCTTAACCACATCTGCCAAGCCCCTTTCCATGTAATATCATGTAGCCAAAATAATAATAATAATAATAAATATCATGTGGCCACAGGTTTTGGACATTAGGACATGGACTTCTTTGGAGAGCCGTTATGCTGCCTACTGGGGCAGCATCCATTTAACCCCTGACCCTCAATTTCCTCACCTGTAAAGTGGGGATAACTATAGTTTCTACCTCCTAAAGAGGTTGTCAGGATGCCATGAATTAGAGAAAAGTGTGCAGCATGCAGTGGGCACACAGTAGGACCTGTTGTTATTTCTAACCTCAGAGATAGCAGTCAGCAGTGCAGCCTCTTCTTGGGGCACAGCAACCTGTGACATTCCAGCTTCTTTAATATTGATATTTTAGAGGAAAAAAGTTATATAAAAAGAATAAACATTAATTCATACTTCTTGAATATTTTATTCCTGGGACCTGTGATCCCTTGGCACAAGGTGGAATCCAAGTCAACTATAGTCATTCTGTGAATAATGAGAACTCATGTTTTATGTTTCTGAAGTCATAGAGATGAAATTTGCAAAAAAAAAAAAAAAAAAGGTCATACATGATCTTTAGAGCTTGGAACCATTACCCTCATTACCCACCCACCCCCAAAAATTAATAGCTGGAGTGCAACTAGATGTAGCTCCCATGCTCCATGCTTTATTTAGTGCAAGAAGAGCTTTCTGGCCTCCAGCAACGAATACAGATACAATCTGTGATTGTATCCGTGGGAAATGGAAGCCTGTTAACTGGTGGTGAGGTGCACAGCGATTGGGACACCCAGTGTTTTGATGGCCGCTTTAGGGAAGGCAAAGAGATGGCACTCTAATAGCTTTTGTAGCACCACTCAATTGAATTAAAGGCCTGGCAAATGAGTCCTACTAAAAAAGAAAAATAGTGAAAATAATTGGCTTACTTTATCAGGGGAAGAAAAGTCCAAAGGATGATCTAATCTTCCATATTAGATGAGAAGCTTTTTAGAATGAGTAAGATATGGTCCTGTGGCTTCCCATGCCCACAGAGGATTAAAGGAAAACACAAATCAACAAGCAAAACTTTGAATTCAAACAATTAGATTTATTAGATTTAGATTTATTTAGATTTAGAGAGGGCTCTGCCAGTAAAATGCAATCCTCTCCAGTGATTTTTAAGTAAAAATTCAATGATGTACTTGTCTGTTTTCAGAAATTTAAGACTTCACATTTGATTTCAGTCCAGAGATCCCATCTCTTATCAAAAAAATAATAATAGCCTGGCTTCTGGTTATCTTAAGGGCTACAAAAAAAATGTTTTTAGTATTAAAACAAAATAAAACAATTTCAGAATTACACTGGAGTTTTCTTAAGGGTAGGAAAATTTTAGAATTTCAGTTACTACTTATGGAACACTGTTTATCAGACAGTGTTCTCTTTATTTGGCAAGTTGTTTACAATAGATATAAGGTATAATTTATTTATTAATTTCATAAACATTTATTACGAGACTGTGTACTAGGCACTACAGATAGAGTGGCAAACAGAACAGATAAGGTCCTTCTTTTCATTGAGCTGGCATTCTAGTGGGAGAGACAGACAAGAAACATAGAATATATGAACAAGAAAAGCACCAGGCAATGACATATTGGCTACAGCAACCTAAAACTGTGGGTGTGGCAGGATGACTGGCTGGCTCTTTTAGATCAGAGTAGTCAGGAAAGACCTCTCAGAGGAGGTGACATTCTAGCTGAGCGCTAAGAAGAAGCCATCCGCAAAGATCAAGGAAGAGTGTTTTTGGCAGACAATAGTACAAAGGCCCAACGGCAGGAGGAATCTGAGGACTGCAGAGAACAAGGAAGGAAGGAAAGGAGGGAGGGAAGAGCAAAACGGACAAATAAAAATAAGGGAAAAAGAAAACAAGGGCCCTTCTGACCGGCCTTTGTGGACCATCCCAAAGCAAGTGGTACAAACTTGGGTCCAAAAAGTTGTTTGGGTCTTTGTGATCCAGTAAAGAGTTTGGATCTTAATCTACATGGGATAGAAAAAAACAAAAGAAGTTTAAGCAAAGGAATGACTGGATCAATTTTTATTTTTACTTCCTGGATCATCCTGGATGAATTTCATTAGCATAATGCAGAGTGAAAAAGCAAGCAAGGGAAATAATCCCACATGGATAAAGTCCAAGCACATGTGAAAATAAACAAGGTCTTTGGGGATATGTAAAAATGTGGTAAACAAGAAAGAAAGCGAAGGGTAAATGCAAAGTGCAGTGCAGCGGTTCCTGGGGCGCCAGAGAGACTTCCAGAGTATCGGTAGGTTCTGTTTCTTAGGTTGGGCAGAAGCACGTGAATTCTTGACATATTGCTACATATACCCAAAGTGTATATCATACATATTCTCCTCTGCAAATTAAGTATTTCATTATCCCAATTGTATGTGTAAATGAATCTTCTGGCTGCCGAATGGCTGGCTTGTTGAGAAGCAAGAGTAAGATCAGAGACAAGTTAGAAGATTATTACAGTAGTCCAGGGAGAACATGGCAGAGGGAGAAGGATGGCAGAGGAAGGAGTTTTGGGCTTGTACAGCAGAAATTATGGTGAGGTCATTGAACATATGGGCAAAGGCCCCAGGAGGAACAAGTTGGAAAGTAGGGAAATCAAGATTTAAGTGTTGCCCGTGTCCATGTGGTGTATCTACTAAACACACTCGTGGACACGTCTAGTAGTCTCAGCAAGGTGAGGCCTAGAGAGCTAGGTTTGGGTGTCACTGGTGGATTGGCCGTGTGAAAGCTCTGGATCTGGATGGCTGAGCTCCTTATATTGTTGTAGGTTTATTATTGTCCCTGGGAACTTCAGTCACCCTCAGCGCTCATGGAAACTGTTGGGAAATCAAAAAGAGAAAGAAAATTTTAAATTTTTTTTTAAAAAAGGAAAGAAGTATGGCATTGTGAAGATTTTGCATAGAATAACTTACTCTTGTTTTTTTTCATTTCTAGATTTTAGAAATATTAATTTTCTGCATTCTCCTATATTTCCTTAAAAGAAAAGGAATGACGCATATGGTGATTCTGCTTACTCTGGTGGCACTTTTAGGTAAGGGAATATATTGTGTTCTTATTCTAATTAATCCATGTTAAGTCATTAATGAAGTTTGAAGGAAATACTTGAGCATTCTATTTCTTTCTGACTGTTTCTATTTTTCAACTCTGACCTATAAGAGGAAGTTGAGTCTAAAGTATTCAGATTATACTTTGCATGCTCATTATACTCAATTGGGACATATTTAATTCTTGACAAAATACACTTACAGACTTTTACTCCTTGGTAATTTTATGCACTCCATAAAAATTTGCAAATTGTTTTGAAGCAAATAATTGAAAAAGATTTTTAAAATAAACTAATAAACTTAATTTAAACTTTAAGTTAACAAGATCTGTCCTGTTTACATATTTTTAAAAACTTTAAAATGTGGCTAAAATGAAGCATAAACATAAGCAGTATGATTTTGTTAAATACCATATTTCTTTTATTCATTGTTTGCCAACCCTTTTACTTCTTTTACCAGAGACTTCTTATAGGATTTGAAATCTGATACTTAGATAACCCACTATATTTTCATATATTGTCCCTCCTTTCTCCCTCTTCCCCCCACCCCACACACTCATATATACCAACACAAGGAGATATTGCTAAACATTTGGGAAATTCCCTTTTCAAATTTTTTTTAACATTTATTTTTTTAGTTGTATTTGGATACCATACCTTTATTTATTTTTATGTGGTGCTGAGGATTGAACCCAGGGCGCACACATGCTAGGCGAGTGCTCTACCGCTGAGCCTCAAACCTAGCCCCCCTTTTCAAAATTTTATTTATAACCCTTTATTAACGTCTTCTTTACCAATAAGATGATCCATATGTTATGTATTGTTTTCTATGACTGTAGATTATACTTATACCATTGGACAAGCTGTAGCCCCATGTAAATTAGGCACTGGGGTTTTCATTTTTCTATCTCATCAACTAGTTTTTTTCCTTTGTATTGGAGGATTTGTGTTTAAGAGAGTTACTTTTAGAAACGAATTCAAGTATGGTATTGATCAAGGGAACTCTATATTTATTTTCTTTCCAAGTTACCAGGTAGGGAAAACAAAAGCAAATAACAAAAAGAAAATGTATATTGTATAGGAAAATATTGAAAATAAAGTAAATTTTAAATAGGACATAAAATTAGAAAATTATCAATCATGAGCATAAATGTAAATGGCATAAGTTTACATAGTTAAAAAAAGTAAGATTCTCAAATTGAACTTCAGAGAAACTCTCAAATGGATATTGAAAAAGATTCTGAAATTGGATTCAGCCATTTGCCTGGGTACAGCTCTTTGAGAGTTTTCGAAACAGCTACCAGTCAGGCCTCTAGGGTGCTTCCTTCACTGATCTCTCTTCACCAACCCTACCCCTGCCATGACTAGCACTAAACATTAATGCAGGGGGCCTCAGACCCCCACCTTTTCCCACTGGTCTTATTGGTTGTTAAATATTTTGGCTGTGTACATCAATTTTATCTAAAACAAGGTAACTCAGGTTGAAAACAGAAGAAAGGGATTAAGAGATTACTAAGTTAAAATCAAGGGCTGGGATTGTGGCTCAGTGCAGAGCACTTGCCTCCCACGTATGAGGCACTGGGTTCAATCCTCAGCTCCACATAAAAATAAATAAATAAAATAAAGGTATTGTATCCATCTACAACTAAATGTGTGTGTGTGTGTGTGTGTGTATCAATCAAGATGGAAAACATTAAATGTGACAAATGGGGGTAATCAATAAGTTCAGAAGAACATCATACATAATATCCTAAGGAAAATCTGCAGAAAGATGCAAAAAATGTATAAATAGAAATATAAGGGGAGAAGAGACTTAGCTCATGGACTTAAAGTCATATTAGAATCTCTAATATTGAACTCCAAATCCTGGAAACAGAGAATATGCCTTCTTTCCACTGCCTGTGTATCATTTACAAAAGTTGATTATGTAATTGGCCACACACAAAATAATCCTTGATCAATTCCAGGAAGTTGAAAGAATACAGACCACATTCTCATGTCACAGTAAAATAAAAACAGAAAATAATAACAAAAATAAAAACCAGTAAAACCTTCCTACCTGGAAATGTTAAAAGTACTCTTAGGGCTGGGGTTGTGGCTCAGCGGTAGAGTCCTTGCCTAGCATGTGTAAGGTCCTAGGTTCAATCCTCAGCACCACGTAAGAAAATATAAAATAAAGGTATTGTGTACAACTACAACTAAAAAATAAATATTTTTTAAAAAGTACTTTTAAACTGCAGCTGGGCAAGGCAAGATTTAATTGTAGCACATACTTTTTAAATTACTATGCAAACACTTAATATTTAAACTGTAGGTAATGACTAATGCTGTATTCAGAGGAAATTAATTGCTTTTGATGTAAATCAAAGCATTCAGCTCAAGAAGTTAGAAAAAAACACTGAAATAAAGCTAAGGAAGGCAGAAGGGAACAATTGATAAAGACGAAAATGGATGAAATAGAAAACAGAAAAGCAATGAATTGAAAAATACACCCCAGAACAAGTTCTTAAAAGACAACTAAAAATAGATCCTCCATCAAGAAAAAAAATCACAGATACTCAGAAATAGAAATGAGAGACAGATGAATGGAAAGAGAGATGTACACACATATATACTTAATAAAACTTAAATTACTCATTTTAACATACAAAACTTAAATAAACTATTTTTTAAAGAAAATAACTATGAAAGAAATACAGGGGTTGTTAAGAAGTCACATTCTAAAAAAGAACCAGGTCTAGACAGTTCCAAAGGTTCAAATATTTAAGGAACAGATTATTCTGATGTTACTGGAACTATTTGAGGACATTAGAAGAAAGCCTTCCCTTTTTAAACTATAATCAGATAAATACTGATCCCAAATCTGAAGAAGATAATACAAATATAGAACACTCTGAACTAATTTCACTGCCAACTATTGATGGAAAAATCCCAAGTGAAATATATTAGCAAGTGGAATCCAGAGCAAATCATACTTCATGACCAAGTGATCTTAATGAAACTGCTTCTTTTTCTTTTTAGCACAGCAACTTGTATTTACATTCTATATATGTGTTTAATGCATCATCTTTGAGCTTACCTTCCTTGCCAGATTAAGTTTGTGAATATAGAACATGTCTTTTCTTTATAGTACATATACTCTACCTAGCTAAACCCAGTGAGCACACTATAAGTGTTTGAATTATTAACTAAAAAAGTATGATTCTTTAAGAAATCCATTACTATAGTTCATCATGTTAATGAGTCAAAAGGGAAATATTGAGATGTTGGTCAGATGGTACAAACTTTCAGTCATAGGACAAATGTGTTCTGGGGATTTGATGTATGACATGGTGCTGTGGTTATCAATACTGTATTGTGTATTTGAATTTTGCTGAGTGTATATATTAAATGTTCTCACCACACACACACACACACACACACACACACACACACACACAAATGGTAACTGTGAAAGGCAATAGATGGGTTTACCAACTTAATTGTAATAATCATTTCACTAGATATGTAGAGTACATCATATATAGAGCACTGTATACCTTAACTTTATCAATTTTATATTTCAATGATGTCACAATAAACCTGGGAAATGTGTAATTATCTCAATAGGTGCTGAAAAGTCATGTTAAAGCTTATCCATTTCTAATTTTTAAAAAACTTAATGATGAATATCAGAGGTGTCCTCATTACTATAAGAAATGAGTAAACAAGGTATCTACTCTTCACTGTGCTCCTCTTGCTGCTTGAGTATTTCACAGTGGGCATTAATGACTTTACAAGGAAAAACAATTATGAAAACCATGTGGTTACCTTGAAGAAAACATGTCTAGTGTCATATAAAATGGAAGAAGTAGCCCACGACGTTGTACCCACCTGCAGTGTGAGTGAAAGCACACACAAGGCAAAACCTGGGAATGAGGGAAAGGAAAGCACATGTAGGGTGTTTTCTTTATTGTTGCTGTAATATTTATCGTGTGACAGATGAAAATGGAATTTGAAAAAGAAATAGAACAATCAGGAAGAAAGAAAGCTGGCTTCTAGTGAGTTCCTTTCTCTCTTTATATATGCACATATATATGTACATGTGTATTTATATATGTGTTGAATCGTAAATTGAAAACTTATAATTGTATGAATTTATGGGATATAAAGTGCTGTTATGATTTATGACTACAACGTGGAATAATTAAATTAGTTAACATATCCATCACCTCGATTCTTACCGTATCTTGTGATGAGGACAATTGAAATGTATTTTCTCAGCAATTTAAAAATGTTGACAAAATCTCAGTTAGGCCAGAGAAATACAGTGAGGAGGCGATAAAGAAAAGACATGTTCTGTCTTCACAAGAGAGTTTGTGTATTCGTTTGGGTGTCCGAAGCTCTGTTGCAGTCTGTGGTCTCCTTTTTTAGAGGAATCCAAAGCCTCTTACCACAGTTCTTCTGGCAGGGCAGGAGGCTGGGAAGGCTGGGAAGTCCTGCTCTATCCATAGCATATTCTTGTTGTCAAAGCAAAATAAACAAATGAAATATTGATGAATCTAAGAAGGAGACACTGATCTAGGATCTGGCCATCTAGGAAGTCTGTGGAACGGGATGAGGAACTAAGAAAACATTGAAAGGGCCAAATGTCAAAGACGGAGCCAGCCTATATGTTGGAGGAAAATGGTGCTGTGAGAATAATGAAAGGAATATATATTTATTGTTGAAAATTAAGAAAATAGAGAAAGATATAAAGAAAAAAATATTAACAATTGTGTTATGGGGCCCAGTACAACAGTATGCCTGGTGTTCTCTGCCAGGCAGTTTATCAGGATTTTTTAGAAGCCTCCTCACTGTCTTATTGTCAACACAGTAATTCCCTTCAGGTGATTTTCCAAAGGAAATAGGCAGAGTGATAGATTTATGTTCAAAAATATTCACTGTAGCCTCATTGTAATAGTAAAATAAAAGGGATTCAATTCAAATATCCAAAAATAGGGAATTGTCAAAATAAATTATACATTCATACAAAGGCATTCTTTATAGCAAATAAAAGTCAGGCTTTAGAAGAATACTTTATGGCATAGAAAATATTTAATCTTAATGGAAAATAGGTTCTAAGTAGTGTATGCCATATGATTTACATGTTATAATACATTCATACTTATGAATAGAAAAAATAATGATGAACCTGAATGTTAAAAAATGATTTGGGAGCAAGTATTGAGATTATAGATGATTTTAATTTTTCTTTCCAGGCTTTTCTGCATTTCCCAGTTTTTTAAAAATGAACATGTACACTTTTACAGATATTCCCAGTGCTATAGATAACAACTGACAGTATCTTAATGTAGGGGGGTTTTTTTAGCCATTTTCTGTGCATACATAAGCACTTTCTATTTATATGTGTATATAACATTAGAATTGCATGTTTCAAAATTGCATTACAATTTTTCATTTCCACCTATCCTCGTCAGTCCCCCGCCAAAAAAACTTCAAAGTACCTGACATCAGCTTAGAAACAGCTTGCAGTTACAATAGTGATTAATCAGTTGGTGTTTGAAAATATAAGGACTATAGAAAGATAGTTTATTTAGCAGTTTAATAAATAATTCTAGTTTTGCTTTTGTTTTGTGTTCAAGTATAATTTAAAATCAGATGGTGGTTAAGTTAGATGACCTTTAAGTTCTTTGCAATCCTGAGGTTCAGAAGCTAATGGAACAGTGTGCTCAACTCCTCCATTAATTATCCCTTCGGGAGACCTGGCTATTCAGACCACAGGACTATAGCCATGTGGTGCTCCAATTCCAGGCAAACTATTTTAGGAGGAAATCAAGGTCCCTAAAGAGCTGACCTACAAACTTAAGCCATCAAGTGATATAGGGATCTCTATAGATATTTAAAATTCCTAGATTAGCTCAGACATGACTATTGTCATAATCAGTCAGATATGACATCTGAAATACGTAAGACCCGTCAAAAGACATCTGAAGATGGAGAGGGGACTGTTTTTTTAAGGGCCTCTTTGTTCTGGTTGGGGGGTTTGTTTTTAGAATTTATTACCTGGTCTCCTCTGCTTATTAGGACTTTTAATTGGAAGAAAATACCTAATTTGGAGTGTACCCTAGAGTCCTTCAAGTTAAAGTACATTTTCAGATTTTGGAAAAGAAAATTATGGAAGGCTCTTCTTGGTTGGCCTTCACGTACTATTTTAAACATATTTATATATATATATATGAAAAAATAATACCATTCCAAAAGCTAAAAGGAAGAAACTCAGCTGTATTGTGATCAGGTAGCTCAACAGCATCAAAGGGAGTATTTCTCCTTCACTTGCCTTTGACTTTTGATTTCACCTAAAAATTAATTTTGAACTTTCTTTAGATTTCAGCTAAACCAAGGAATTTTTGGAACAGTAACTTGAGGGAACCTGAGACAGAAAGAAAGCACTAGGGTCCTCCTACAGAAGTGTGGGGAGAAAATGCTCATTGCTTTCACAGTGATAGGACCTGGTCATTTTTCTTAATTAGCATGTGGAACCTATGAAAAATTTGTTCACGTAAGGATGGGTCTCTGTTTAGCACAGAAAATATATGATGTTGTTTATGTAAGTCTTGGATTTAAGGTTCACTCTGAGAAATGACACCTCAGCTCCTGTCCTGCTTCCAATTATTGTCTTTGTCGAAAAACATTTTTAATGCAACCTCTAGGCATGTCCTAACAAAAAGACTCACACATATACTTCAGACAAGTCTCAGGAAACGAGGAATGTGTCGCTTTCCACTTCCCTGTCTTCACATCTATTTGGCTTTAAATTTTTCCCATAGTTTGATAGATATTTTCCCACAAATGTCAGATGGACAGTCTGAACTCTCTCACCTCCCCCATCCCTGTTCTTGCCCTTCCCATCTACTAGTGATTATAATCTCTGCAGAACCCTTTCAACAGCACTGAAAAATAAGCATCTTGTTCCGAAGATAAAAGCACCCGGTCCACAGATCTTGAGCTGATCTAAACAAATTTAAATTCCAGCACAGCCTGAGGAACAAAAGGGGCTGCTTGCAGAGGGTCACTTCTTCCCCTGAACCTTTCACAACGGTTTTCACTCTTAAAGCACAATTGCCACACATGCTACTCCACCACAGAAACTCAAGATACGTATCTATAATTCTGCCTCAAATATGTACTTTATTTGTGTTTTTGTTTTCTTTTCCAGCCTCATTGACTGTTATTTCAGTGAAAGCCGTCTCAGGCATGATCACTTTTTCTGTGACGAATAAAACGCAACTAACTTATCCCATCTTCTATATCATGTGTATCATCATGATAGCATCTTGTGTTTTCCAAGTCAAGTAAGTTAGCTTCTACATACTCACTAATCTTTCAACATTCCTGTGCTTCCTTCTCCAAGCGTTAATCTTCATTGGCTTCAGATGGTAATTAAGATGAGCTGCAGTGGATTTCTAAGGGTGAAGGACCTGCAGCTTATCCGAAGCCATCATGCCTTGCTTTGTCCTTCGCATACAATAAGAAGTTTTTACTGAGCATCGCCTTCATGTCTTGTGCTTTCTAAAATATGGTCATAATCCAGCTAAGTGCGCTTTGATGCTTTCCTGATGCTCTTCTGCTTGTAATTAATATCCATCGTACACAGGTTGTCATTAGCAATAAATCAAAGGGGCAGGTCCACGTCCAGGATTTCATTCTAAATATAGGAAATACGTGAACCCTTCACCTTCATTTCTTAGCTCATGCTCATTAATTGCCCAGAGATGGACAAAACCAGACGTTTGGCCGGGAGGAAAATCCTTTCCCCAGAATTCTGCATCTTTGGCCAGAATTTTCTTTGCACCCATGGGATTGCAGAGTGATTGTTTTATGTTTCTCTTGGGTCCTAATAGTGGTGACATGGAACATTTTTAATTTCTGCTTTTCTCTGCCCCCACCTCCCTCTGCCCTAATCACTCCCTCTCTGTTTCACGTAGTGCTTATGCCTTTGCCTGCTAGGCCCTCTTGAGTTGTCCAGAGAGTTTTCTATTCACCCCCAATGCTACACCAAAGGACCACCCAGTGCCAGCCAGGAAATCAGAGCTCAGAACACGACTGATGCCTTCTGTGAAGTCTCCCTGTTATGGGCTGGATATAGCCCAGTGCCAAGGCCTCTGGAGGGTTGCTGGAAGAGCCCAGCACACTCACTGTTTTATCATTTCCTTACAAGACTGAGTATGTTTGTAATATCGTATCTTGCCATTTTGTTTCTTCTCTCTTTCTTCTGAATTAATCAGTACTGCTACAGTATCTTTTGGGATTTAATGATTAGTATCATTGTCCTTATCTTAGCTTCGGTGACTTAAAAAGCACACACCGCGGAAGGTAAACTTCATCCTGTTGCCCTTGCTTCAGTCCCTGTGCCTGTCGCACTGTAGAACTGTGGTTAAAAGAGTTGCTGTGTTTGGACATATAGGTGAATATGCACGCAACGTGTACACACATACATATTCCTGCAGTTATATGGCCCTCCATACATGTATGTGTACACACACACACCTCGGCTCTACCCACAAAGGTTTTTTGTTGTGTTGTGTTGTGTTTTGTAGTTGCCCTAGAGTAGGACCTAAGCGTTAGTGCTTTTTTAAAGCATCCAGGTGATATCCATGCAATTCACTGCTTTAGAAAAGTCTAGTCCTCGTCAGGGCAGCACAGCACAGAGCGGGAACCTGAATTCCTGTTGGTGGCCAGAGTGAGAAGCTGAGCTCCCACATGTGCTCTGCAGCTGGAGCACTGAGCATTGTTTTTGAAACATTAAACATTCTTTTACTTCTCCATCTTCTTTCTTGGCACGTGGCATGTCAATGGATAGCTATACTATTCCCCAGATATGATATTTAACAGATTCAAGGGTCTATCCTAATGAATCAGCCCCAGTATGATACTGGTCCAGCAGCTTGAATCGCTTCCAACTCAAACTTCTGTGGCCTCAGAATATGATTAATTGCTTTTCATTGTTACTGTTGTTGGTTTAAACAGACCATAAAACCTGACATCTGATCTCATACATCAGATGCACATAAGCTATGACTGCTGATTGGAAATGCCCTTTCCCTGCACTTCCTTTCCCTTTGTAGTTGTGGCTACAGAACATGCATTTCTTGAAGTTATTGTTAACTTATTGCTAAGCTTCTCTAAGCCCAAGCTCTAGTAAGTACCTTCTGCTCTAGGTTCCTGAATCAAGCCACGAAGCTCTACAACACGACAGCAGTGGTGCCCGTTAACCATGTTTTCTTTACAACCAGCGCCATCATCGCAGGTGAGTTTTGGCTTTCCCCACATAGGTTATTCCACCCCCACCTGCATAAGTGAAGTTTCTTTCAGGGTAAATAAGAGATCAAGAAATGGTTAGGTTATAGGAAACTAAGGAGCCCATGTCCCCCACACCCAATGTCTGAATTTCCTCCACGACATCCTCCAGGATGGGCTATTCTACAGGCTGTGAATGCTACCCAGTGCTCTTTGTCACCTGAGACAGCTCTTATTCAGAGAGTTCTAATTATTAGAAAGTGTTGCCCGGCACAGTGGCACACACCTGTAATCCCAGTGGCTCAGGGGGGTGAGGCAGGAGGATCATGAGTTCAAAGCCAGCCTCAGCAAAAACGAGGTGCTAAGCAACTCAGTGAGACCCTGTCCCTAAATAAAAGACAAAATAGGGTTGGGGATGTGGCTCAGTGGTCGACTGCCCCTGAGTTCAATCCCTGGTACCCGCATCCCCCACCCCCCCCCCAAAAAAAAGTGTTTCCTTATACTGGACCTGAAATCAGTGTATTTTTATTACTTTTTTTAGTTATACATGGACATAATATCTTTATTTTGTTTATTTATTTTTTTATGTGGTGCTGAGGATAGAACCCAGTGCCTCACATGCGCGAGGCAAGTGCTCTGCCACTGAGCCACAACCCCAGCCTCGGAAATCAGTTTTATTGAAAACTCAAGACAGTCATCTTTATTCTGTTCCTGGGAGTCTTCTCCTTACTAGCTCTGCTGATAATCAAAGCAACCAAAAGCCCTCTTGAGTCTTGTCTCTGAGCCAGACTTCCTCAATTTCATGAACTCTTCCCTATATGCCCCTCACCAGCTTGATCAGAGAGTGGAGTCGCAAAACCAATTTAGCATTCCAGGCAAGGAGAGACAGATAAGCATGGAAATTACTTCCTTCAGTGTTCCAGCCTCCATATTTCTTCTTTTACAGTTTTTATATTTTGGTGAAGAGGTGTTTTTTTTTTTTTTAACATTACAGATGCAATAGTGTTCAAAAGTACAAATTTAAAACTTGGTCCAAACTAAAATACAGTAAATTCAAATAGATCCCTTCTAAATTTAATACTGATATCCCTAGTTCCTTGGCTTATTTACCACCTTCTCATCCTAGGAGTTTATTTCTCTAAAATTTTGTATTTTGAAAGTAATTGGGGATTACCTGCTTCTGAATTGGTACATCTTTGTTCTTATCTCATGGCCAACAAATGTGACTGCCATTGGACAGGGGTTTTTTTTCTTTCTTTTTTAAGTAATAATGTATTTTCTGTTTCCCAAAATTGAACTTTTTATTTAAAGAAAAATTATATCCCAAGACATCTAAATTTTTTTTCAGTATTTTGCACTTCCTGATAAAAGATAGTGAGAAAAGATTGTATACTGTTATGTCCTAGAATTACTGGAAAGTAAAAATTAGACCCAAAAGAGTTATAGACAGGCTGATATCCAACCTAATAATTACCATAAATATGCAGAAAGATGGGTAAAGAATGCAGTTCCCTGGCTGACTATCTTCTAGGAGGGCAGCAGGGCTGGGTCTCAATACTCAACACATGGAGTAATTGGTGAGTCGGGGAGGCTGGACTTTGGGAGCATTGACAGTTCTTCTTATGTTACAGGTAGAATGGAAGTGAAGCTTCTCAACTAACTTCTCTCTGCCTCTGTCACAGGGCATAGCTTAAAGTTAAATATTTGCCTACTAAATTAGTCAACTTTTGCTTGTTTGTTTTATTTCAATAGCCAGTGCCGATGAGGCTACACTATCAGAGACACCCTCCTGAGGTTGGGTAGATGGTCCCAGCTCCCTAGAACTCAGGTCCATAGTTTTTATCAAGGCCTTACAAATGTTTTATACTCTACAATTCTACAACTCAAAATAAAAACACAAATGACCTGATTTTAATGTTCATAGCAACTCAATTCACAATAGCTAAGCTATGGAACCTAGGTGCCCTTTAATAGATGAATGGATAAAGAAAATGTGGTACATATACACAATGGAATATTATTCAGCCATAAAGAAAAATGAAATTATGGCATTTGCCAGTAAATGGGTGGAGTTGGAGGCTATCATGCTAAGTGAAATAAGCCAAATCCCCAAAAAACCAAAGGATACTGACTCACAATAGGTAGGGGGAGGGGAGCAGGGGGATTGGAGGTTCACTGAATTGGGCAGGGGGGAATGGTGGGAAGGGAGCGAAGATAGGGGGATAGGAATGGAAAAACAGTAGAATATCAGACCTAACTTTCCCATGTTCTATATGAATACACAACCAGTGTAACTCCACATCATGTACAACCACAAAGAATGGGAAGTTATATTCCATGTATGTATGATATGTCAAAATACATTCTACTGTTATGTGTACCTAAAAAGAACAAATTAAAAAATGATTGACATAAAATTACCATGTAACCTATTGAGCACAGTGGCATACACCTATAGTCCCACAGCTTGGGAGGCCGGGGCAGTAGGATAGCAAGTTCAAAGCCAGCCTCAGCAACTGAGCAAGGCCCTAAGCAACTCAGAGAGACCCTGACTCAAAATAAAAAATAAAAAAAGTGCTGGGTATGTGGCTCAGTGGTCAAGCGCCCCTGAGTTCAATCCCCAGTACCAAAAATCAAAAACATAAAAAAACACCATGTAATGTAACAATTCTACTTCTATGTCTGTAACAAAAAAAATGGAAACATAACATCCACCAAAAATATTTTATACCAAGGTCAGAGAAGCTTTATTCATAATAGTCAAAAAGTAAAAACAACCCAAACATATGAACAGATGAGCACAATGTGTTCTCTGAATGCAATGGATATCACTGGGCCGTAAAAAGGAATGTAGGGCCAAGACATGCGACAGCACAGACAGCCTCTGAAAACATTATCATGAGTTAAAGAAGCCAACAAGAGTACATAGTAGTAAAGATTCCATTTATGTGAAATGTCCAGAATAAGAAAATCCTCACAAAGTAAATTAGTGGTTGCCCAGGGCTGGTGGTGGTGGCTGTTGTAGTGGTAAAGGGGAATAACTGCTAATGGGGTGCTGAGTTTCTCTTGGGAATGATGAAAATGTTCTTTTTTTTTTTTTTAACTGGGGATTGAACCCAGGGACACTTTACATTGAGCTACATCCCCAGCCCTTTCTAATATTTTATTTTAATTTTGAGTCAGGGTCTCACTAAGTTGCCCAGGCTGACCTTGAACTTTCAATCCTTCTGCCTCAGCCTCCCAAGCTGCTGGGACTACAGGAATGTGCCACCATCCCTGGCCATGACCCCCCCCCCCCAAAAAAAGACCTGATTTTGAAATGCACAAAGGATTGTTTAAATAGATGTTTCTGCAAAGAAAATATAAAATGATCAACAGGCATTGCTGAAAATATGTTCAACATCACTAATCATCAAGGAAATGCAAATCAAAACCACAATCAGATATCACTTCACATCCATTAGAATAGCTGCTATTAAAAACAGAAAATAACAAGCATTGGAGAGGATATGGAAAAATTAGAACTCTTGTGCATCCTTGGTAGAATATAAAATGGTACATCTGTTATAGAAAATAGCATGGCAAGTTCCTCAAAAATATTTAAAAATTGGATTACCATATAGTCATCAATTCCACTTGTGGGCACATACCCAGAAGAATTGAAAGCAAGGTCTTAAAGAAATTTGTAATATCTATGTTCATAGCAGCAGTATTCAGAATAGCAAAAAGGTAGAGATGGCCCAAGTTCTCATTGACAGATGAGTAGATAAACAAAATTTGGCATATACATACAATGGAATACTATTCAGCCTTTGACTAGAGGAGATTTTGATACACATCAAACCACAAATAAATCTTGAGGATGTTGTTCTATGTGAAGTAAGTCATAAAAAGAAAAATACTATTCCACTTATCTGAGGTATCTAAAAATAGTCAAATTCCTAGAAACAGAAGATAGAATGGTAGTTGCCAGGGACTGGGGGAAAGAGGAAATGGGGAGTTGTTTAATGGGAATAGGATTTCAATTTCAAAAGGAAAAGTTCTGGAAATTGGTTGTGCAACAATGTGAATATGCTTAACACTGCTGATCCATACATCTACAAATGATTAAGGTGGTAAATTTTATATTATTTACATTTTACTACAATTTTTTGTTTGAGATGGAGTCTTGCTGTGTTGCCTTGCCTGATCTTGAACTCACAATCCTCTCATCGCAACCTCCCAAGTAGCTGGGATTACATACATGTGCCACTATACCTGGCTTACTTTTTTTTTTCCTTTGGTACCAGGGATTGAACTCAGGGGCACTTGACCACTGAGCCACATCCCCAGCCCTATTTCGTATTTTATTTAGAGACAGAGTCTCACTGAGTCACTTTGTGTCTCACTTTTGCAGAGGCTGGCTTTGAACTCTTGATCCTCCTGTCTCAGCTTCCTGAAACGCTGGGATTACAGGTGTACACCACTGCACCAGCTTTACTTTGTTGTAATTTTTAAAAATACAATGTGTGGGGCTGGGGATGTGGCTCAAGTGGTAGTGCGCTGGCCTGGCATGCGTGAGGCACTGGGTTCTATCCGCAGCACCACATAAAGATATTGTGTCCACCTAAAACAAAAAAAATAAATATTTAAAAAAATAAAATAAAATGTGTTTATACTCTTTGAAACAGAAATTCCATTTCTAGAAACCAATTCTAATGACAAAAAAAAAATCAAAACACTGGGGGAAATGTGTAAAAGAAGTTCATTGCTTATTACTAAAGAACAAGCAATTAGAAACAACTTAAACTGTCCTCAGAAATGAATATTATGGTGCATTAGTTTAGAATAACATGGACACAATAAAATGATTATGAAGAAGTATGTAATAATATGGAAGATGTTTCAGAAATATTCATCCAGTTCTAATACTCATTAGAGCTGGATGTGGCTTCTTTCTGTAAGAAGTCCATTCTCAGAGTAAGGAGATAAGGTTGAGGCTGAGAAAACTTTGTCTCCTGTGAGCGGGACTCCTCTTGTTCACAGTGGGGTCTCCATCACCCCCAACAGCAGTGCACAGGAGACACTTGGTAAGTACTCATTGACTGGCTAACAAAGCTAGCTCCCGACACAAAAACTGATTCCAGGTGCTTCATACATTAAGGATGTCTTGTTTAACAAAACCCTACAAAGGTTTTAGGACCTTAAACTAACAAGAAATCATTGAGACCAACAGGGAGAGAAGAAAAGGTCCTCAAAATAAATCCTACATGCTTGCTTGCCATCTCCTAGGAAGGGAGGCCAGAGGGAGGACATGAGAGCAGTTAGCAGAGGAAAATGGAGCAGGGGCAACACCCCAGTGGCCAGTGTTTTCCTGTACCTGTATGGGCATGTGACCACGCTGGCAGACCACAGGGCATAGCCAAGAGTGACAGAGGGGCTACAGCTGCTGGCCTGAGGTGGGCCTGCCATGTCAGTGACCCCATGGTTCACCCAGACTCTCAGGCCAGGTGCTGACCCTGATCTAAAATCATAGGTGGGATATGGTCACTAGACTTTTGTTCTCTTGTATATTCTGGTGAGAAATTCTTGGACTGGGTAATTCTGTGCCTGGCTTGCAAAAGTTATGTCAAGCCAGGCACAGTGGGGTGCGTCTGTAATCCTAGCAACTTGAGAGTCTGAGGCAGAAAGATCACAAATTTAAAACCAGCCTCAGAAACTCAGCAACTTAGCAAGACCTTGTCTCAAAATAAAATAAAAAGGACAGAAGATACAGCTCAATGGTAAAGCACCCCTTGGTTCAGTCCCCAGTACCAAAAAAAAAAGAAAAGAAAACCTTTTGTCAATTGTGTTGATTTTATAATAATTATAATCATATTACATAAAATCTACAAGTCTCTGTTCCTTTGGAATAATTTTAAATGTAAGTGTGGCATGCAAATTTTTTTAAAAATAAACTACTGAATGTGCATTTTAAGGATAGCCATATTTAGATATATTTACATAATTCTAGAAATAATGTGTAACTATTGTAAATACTCCTACCCTAAAATTAATTCTGTATTCTATTCCTATATAGGTATCGTATTTTACCAGGAATTCCGTGGTGCCGCTTTTCTCACTGTATTTATATATCTTTTTGGGTGAGTAAATGCCTCAGAAGTAAGGTATGTGAAATTCTATTACTTTTAATAGGATTTTTGGCATTGCACCTGAAGTATAGAAAATTGGAAAATAATGTAAGAAACACCAGTTTCCTGCACTCCTAAAAGAAACATATTTTTCAACTTAACACCTTTCACAGGGCTCAGTGACTTTGGCTTTTGATTTAGGTATCTCCCTGAGGGTCCTAAAGCATTGGTGATTTTCAGTGCCAGCCAAAGTTGAGATAAACTCACTGGCCTTTGTAGTTACTCCACCTTTTACTACTGTACCAGACCTACCTCGCCCTTGGGAACCCCGAGATTAGATCTCAATTAGAGGATGCTTCAAGGATCACCTGGAATAAAAGACCAAGACTGGAGCAGATCCCTAGATTTGGACCTAGGAGCATCAGGTCGATCCATTCCTCTCTTGTGTTAGAGTGGCCAGCTCCATGCTTCCTAGAAATCTGAGGGACACATCACTAGCCTTGCTGGCATACAGAGCAGAACCTTGACAAGATACAGCCAATGTATAGAAGCTTCCATTGGCTTCAAGTGGCATTCCATTAGCGCTTCCTGCTTCTTGATCTGGTATTCAGCATGACCATTGTTATGCAAACTTGAGCCTAAACTATTTTCAGCATAGGAAACCATCTATCTTGAAAATTCAATTTCATAAGACATTTGGGCGAGGCCAAACTTCTGGGGTCTGGAAACTATGACTACTCTTATGGCCAAGGACAACGAGATTTCTTAGAAAATTAAGGAATAAATTGTTTTTGCACTTGTGTTTGCATGCCAGTAATGGGTCTGGGCATGCATGGATAGAAAACGAGACCTAGTGTCTACCCAAAGGGCTTAGCGACTGAATTAGCCTCCAGATGGTAAAAACCTGGGGCAGAGATTTATTGGAAGCTGCCCAAGTCTTGGTTCTGGGTACAAATATTATTGGCTCCAACAATTAAGACAACTTCTAGGCAGCTTACCATGAGAAGCAGGATAAACAAAACTGATGGAATTTATATCATCATGTAGGATATGGAGCTCAGTTATTTAATACCATGAGCTGTTTCAGTGTTCCTGTGTTCTTTATTAATATTTTTCTTACAGGTGCTTTCTGTCATTTCTTGGGGTGTTTTTGGTCACAAGAAATCAAGAAAAGGAACATCTGCAACAGCCCTATATTGATTTTGGAGATATTCCTGGTAAAAATATATAAATATATTCTCTCGTTTATAATAGAAGCTTTTATCCTTATAAGTTAACAATTGTTGGCATTATTTGGTGGTATGGAGTTAATATAAAACATAATTCTTACCCTCAAAAAAAGTATACTTAATGATGAAGCAAAGGTGATGTTTTCAGTGTAACTGTTAATAATAATTTATGGAATGTCAGTTTTGCATAGATCTGGGGATTTAGGGATTTTTTTTTCCTTAGAGTGTAAAAAGATAGGGGAAACATGTGGGGAATGGCTACCAACAGCAGATCCCTGCCACTTGGAGAGGCTTTGGAGATACATATAAGGACTGAAGGTTAGGCTGCTAAAGAACATCACTCCTAGGGGAGACTGAGGTGGCCTGTGAACCATGTGCCAAAAGTGACATCGTCACAGCCTCCAGAACAGGAGGGCTTCTCCCCCTTGTCCCCTCATGCATCTAGATTGGGTTAACATGCATCCTCTTTCCAGTTCTTCTTCCCTCACATTCACCACTTTGCTAGGGATTTGGGGCGACCTCTCCCTGGCTTGCTTCTCTCGTTTCCAGGTAGGAAATCGATTCTCCACCATTCAGTTCGTACCATATCTTTAGGCAAAACCCACTAAAGCCCCATCCCTAAGACTGAGAAATCATGGCCCTGGGCAATGAATTCTGTGTTCTTTTTTCTGTGTGAGCCATCTTATCAGCCAAAAAGCATTCTGTGCAATAATAGGCATCTGTGACAAGAGTATGCATTAGAGACAACTTGTTTGGGAACCAAACCCAGGATGTGGGGAACACTTCAAATTGCATTCCATGAAAACATTAGACTGTCAAAGCATAGGAAGGCTCTGATTGTCCACATTTGTCCACACCATTATTTTTAATTCTGTTTTCCACTTCATAAAGCCCCATATATAGGAGCAGCTTTTGAAGGCTCCATTAAAGTCGGTTTTTCTGTGTTGTCATATGCTTTAGACTAGACATGGAAAAGAGGACAAAGCCCTGGGGAGAAAGGTTTGGAGATGAGTGAGTGCTTCACATGAATCTCCTGACTGGCCATCCGATTTCCATGCCCAGCATGGGGTCGGAGACAGCTCTGTCACATGGACAGTGCGTGACCACACACCAAGTGACACGGACTTCCTTGGGCCTTTCTTCCTTGATGGTTATCTTTTCTGTTTAGAGGGTGACCACATAGTACTTTAAAAATAAATAAATAAATAAAGGGGAATAAAATGTGGCCTAGACCAAAGAGAAATTATTAGGATTTTTTTCATCCGTAAGGCTCAAAAGATTTTTTCTATGATTATTATCTCCACAGGGAAACAAATGTTGGACAAAATACAACCAGATTCAAATGGCTTATCCTATGGAACCTTGCCTGATGGAAGTGACTCAACAAAGAGCCAAAGTGGAGAGAAGAAAGAGGTCTAAAGTGCCGAGAGGGATGGCTGTTGGCCTGTTATTCGATACCACCTTTTTAAAAAATTGCACATGTTCAATATGTGTCAGCAGCTATTTCATGCTGACATGTGCTCACATTCGTTTCAGTCCTTCCCCACTGTGGACAATCAGAGCCTTCCTACGCTTTGACAGTCTAATGTTCTCGTGGAATGTAATTCGAAGTGTTCCCCACACCCTGGAACTCTCCCTAGTGATCATCTAACCAGCTAGATCTTAATTGGGCCCTGACTGCTCAAGCAGGAATGTCACACAAAAATGTGCCTTCGCAATCCGGTCATAGGAGGCATAGGTTGCTTCTCCCACGTGGCTTGTAGGCTATTGCTTGGCTTCAAAAGACCCCTTAGCCCGGCAATGTCAGTCCTGAAAGAAAGTTCTAGGGTACCTTTTATGAGCCTCCCATACAGAGCTCCCCTTTTCATTCCTGAATTAGAATGGCAACTCATCTTTTCTGAAAACTAACACTTAAAATCCTCCTTTGAAAAGAAAGGACCTCTTTAAAATGAGAATTTATAAGTGGCATTCTGCAGTGGTACCATACCAGAATTCAAAGACTGGTATGGCGGACTTTTTTAAGCCTAAAAAAAAAAAAAAAATTTAAATAGGACTGTGCTCATTTCCATAACACATCTTCTAAAATTAGAACAGTACAGAGCATGGCCCCTGGGCAAGGATGACAAGTGAATCTGTGAAATGTTAAGGGCGGGGGGGAAGTGAATTAGGACTAATGGTTGTTTATTTTTAATAAAAATGTAGAATGATGGTATTTTCTTCAGCCATATGGACCTATTATACTTGAATTGAAACTGAAGAAAAACTATATTCTGTGCCTTTAACTGTTACAGATTTTACGATTTATCAGGTAGGTTTACGTTTTAACTTTCAAAACAAGTGTCAAAGCTCACATTTGGATTCATAGTGATATTTGCACTATACTCCATTTCTTCCTCAAGTCATTGTCTCAAACCTAGTGGATTCTTCTAGGAAGGTTATGACGGGAGACCTGGCTTTCAGCCTTTTGGGAGAGGGGATTTAACCCAGGTGCAATTTACCACTGAGCCACATCCCCAGCCCTTTTTATTTTATATTTTGCTTAGTAAGCAATCACTAAATTGCTTAGGGCCTTCCTAAATTGCTGAGGCTGGCCTCGAACTTGTGATCCTCCTGGCTTAACCTCCCAAGCCATTGTGCCTGGCTGGATTTCAGCTAGTTAAATCTGCCCAGTAGTGCTCCTGTGCCCTTAATGGCTTTTCTGCTGCTATTAATGCCAGGTCTACTAAGATAGTTCGCAGGTAGAATCCATAGTAATATCTGTTGTTTATAATCTACCTAACGTTTAAATGAGAAGAAAAGAGGAAGACTTAATTGTAATCAAATAATGAAGCCCTATCCCTAATGATATTTCAAAACCTTCAGATCATTCCTGACCTGTCGAGTCTGATATTGTTCCAGCCAATGGTCTCTCACTAGTGTAGGAGTTCAACTCAGAGCTAGGGGGATTGCAATCTTAACTGCTTTTAGTTTTATTCTTCATCCTAACCTATACTCATTTATGGGATGAGGAGGTACCAGGGATTGAACTCGGGGACACTTAACCACTGAGCCACTGTTTTGTATTTCATTTAGAGACAGAGTCTCACTGAGTTGCTTAGTGCCTCACTTTTGTTGAGTCTGGCTTTGAACTTACGATCCTCCTGCCTTAGCCTCCCGAGCCGCTGGATTACAGGCATTTGCCACTGTGCTGGCCTAACCTATAATCTTTTTCTTTATTCTGAAGCTTTTTATTATAAAATAAAGGTCTGCTAAAATATAGAAATGGATTAAAAGAATGTAAAATTAAACCATAATTTCCTTATTCTAAAAACAGATTTGTGTGAATAATTCCAGAAAATTTCTGTGCTAACCCATACTGTTGACCAGACTGGCCAAAATTAGCCACAAAGAAGAGAGATGCAAATCTATCAGCAGTGTACAAAAAATAGCCCGGAGCCCGTGTGTGCCCGGCCTCTGAACTCCTGGTAACAGTTTTTGCCGTTGAGGAAAGTGTCCCATGGTTCAGAGTCAGCAGTTGTCTAATTTACGGCACGTTGTGCTGAATGGGCACGGCATGTTGACGCTGGGAGGCACAGCTGAGAAGTGTGTCTGGGGCCGTAAACTACAGCTTTCTGGTGAATCTTGAAACTGGTTAGGATTGGGAAACAATTAGACTGAAGAGTTTTACTTGAAGTAGGACTCCATTTATAGCTAGAGTGCACAGTTTTGAATATTGTATAATTTTGCAGACACAAGCACAGCACCAGTATTTACGGGCCACCAACACTATTAAAAGTACTAAAAAATGACATTGACTTATATAATCCAGCAGTGCTTTAGAAATCCAGATTACATAGAAAATACACTCAGATCTAATTTTATTTTCCATATTGGTGCCCCAAAGTAAGGTGAATAGTAGGAGTTTTAGTGTACTGACTTGTGGGATTTTTAAAAGTACTAGTGCATGACAACAACCAAAACCAATCTAGTCCTCCCTTGGCATGTAAGTTGGGGACCTTCAGCCAACATTTGGCTCATCTGACTATTTGTCTAGACCAGTGATTGGCAAACTTTTTCAGTAAAAACTCAGAGAGTAAATATTTTGGGGTCTGCGTTGTCCATACGATGTCTATCCCAAATACTCAACTCTGCCATTGTAGCACAAAAGCATCCGCAGACAATATGTAAACAAATGAGCATGGCTATGCTCCAGTAGAACTTGATTTATAAAAATACACCAATCCCTGGGCTATAGTTTGCCAACCCTTGATCTAGACTCCTCTACCCTTGCTCTGCAAGTCTTTTCTATTTCTTGGACATCGAAGATTTTTAAAAATAACGTTTCATTGTTCATGATAAATCAGAAACTATGGGAGTGTTTTGATAGTTACATTAGGGTCTTTTTTCTCATTTAAGAAATAAATGAGAGCACGAGTTTATTCTTGGAGTTCAAGTTTCTCACTTTGGAAGGCAGTGATTATTTTGCAAACACCACTCATTATACTGGAAGAGCCTCTCCAATCCCACACCCCAAGTTGATATCTTTGTACATTACCTTTTATGTAGTAAACTAAAGCAGAGATCTTTACCATCTGATTGTTTTTCAGTTTAAATGTTGGTTTTTCTGATTGCTATAAGACGTTCTTTACCAGAATCCCTTGAAAACTAATGCAAGAAAAAATTTCTCAGGCAGCAGCTCAGAATGTACACACACACACACACACACACACACACACACACAGTCCTGGAGATTCCATTCTGTGGCAGAAAAGAGAAGAGACAGATTTCACAAATGAGTGCAATTTCAGTGCTATTAAAGAGTAATGGTGGTAATGTGTAAGTCTGGCTCCAAAGGAAGCAGGTGCCATTGTGGCCATGACTCAAATGGATAGAAATGTCGAGCCAAGTTCCTAAAGCCAAGAGTCTTCTTTGCACTCCTTGTTCCCGAGCACAGCGCATCCAGGAATGGTGACGGTACACACTCAGCCACTCTGAAGGCTGCCTCACGCCTGCCAATTTAATAGTGATATGATAGACATAAATATAGCAGTTACTAAAATGAACCTTCCAATACCCTTCCAAACTGCTTTACGTAAACTCCGTTACTTTGGCTGGTTACTGAGCCAATCCTTGATGGGGGCAGCTGCAAACCTAACACACGTGTTTGGCACCAGTGAATATGAGTTCTTTAGTGAGGTTGCTAGATAAACACCACACATTTTGAACTATTAGAACAAGATCTCAAAATTGAACCCAACATGATTGTGTGAGGAATTTCGAGGCTGCTTCTAATCGTTAGACTCATCAACAATGGTCTGGCTCTTATTATGGCCATCTTGAAGTAAAAAAATAAAATAAAATTCCACACATACATGGTTTCCATGCAAATATAGACCAGTCTCGGGCTATTAAACATAGTATTTTAGCAATTGTGGTGAATGCAAGGAAGAGCCCTTCCCACCCAGGAATTCTTGAGTCTGTCCCCTTTCTCACCAGCCTCAGGGTACCACACAACATGCTGTCCCCATGCCAGGAGAACAAATCAGTTACAGGAGCTGTGGCCCAACTTATGAGACATTTTTTGCTAGAAAGGGAGGCAGCTCCTTCAGTGTGGATCCTTATTGAGAGTTAATGAGTCCCAACCACAATGTAAAAGAGGAATATCAATCCCAATATCAAATGTGGTGTTTCAGGGTACACCCAGCTGGGCCAGGCATTGCTGAGAGTTTCACAGAGTCCCAGGCAAGATGCAAGATAGTCTTGGTGTTCCAGGAAAGAATCTCCTTCCCAGGGAGCTGGCAAGTGAGACCGAAGGAGCCAGTCCGTTCCTGATGGGACCAGTTCGCATGGACCAAAGCCACTTTGCACATTTGAGCTGCTGCTAGCCAGACATGAGCCAGTCCTTCTAGCACGCATGCAGCTCGCTTCCAGAGCCTTTTCCCTCATGGTTCTAATTTGAAAACCAACCTCAGAAATTTTCTGAGGTTTGGGCTCTACTCCCTTTGTCCAAAGCGCCTCACCTAAACCTTCTAAACACATGCATGAACAAGGAGATGAATCAGCTCCAGAGCTCTTGATCCATGGACTCCAAGCTTAGGCTATTTCCTTGATTGTGGACTATTCACCCAATGACCAGATGCCTCACACTTAGCAAATATTCATGAATTCATAACAGTCTCAGACATAATTGATTACTTACTGTTTTTAATGTGTTTGGTTTTTTGTGTGTTTGTTTTTAGAACCATTTTAGTTTTGCTTCTGCAAAATTGAGCAGAAGGTACAGAGATTGCCTGTTCCCACACTTGCATAGTCTCCCCCATGACCAACATCCCCCATCAGAGTGATATATTTGTTACAATTGATGGACCTAAATTGACATATCACTGTCACTCAGAGTCTCTACATTAGGGTTCACTCTCATTGGTATGCATTCCCTAAGT